AACACATAGAAACTGGATTCATCAGTGGTTTTTTTCCACAGAGGACCCAGTCATGGAACCCACCAAGAATGTCCCCGTCCCGTATTCCCATATTCCCACAAAGCCAAAACACCCCACCCCTCCCATTGCAATTTTGGAATGGAGAATCAAGAACGGGATCATAAGACAATGTGGGGGTTTTTTTGTGTCCTTTTATTTTACAGGATATTCTCTCTCTTTTCCTTTGTTTTAAAATGAAACTGAAGTATAAATTTGAGGTAAAAGGGGCAAAAGAAGAGCTATGTGAGGGATGATCACATCTATGAGGGGGAGGAATAACGGGATTTTTATAAAGGAACCCTACAGAGATCGCACAGGGGGTCATGAACACAAATCCTTTCCCCACCCAAACTCTCCGTTTGGGTCCAAGTAGGGGGGGGGACGGGGTGATATCACCTGTAATCCCCGGGCACTTCCTGAGCTTTTTCCCCGTCCTGTATTCCGGGATTTCCCCCGGATAATCTCCTTCTCTTGCTGCAACAAAATTTTATTATCTAACGGATTTATGGGGGTTCGGGGGTTCAGCTGGCAGAAAAATGTTGATGTTCACAATGGGTTTGATTGACCGGACATGTATTTGGGGTCTTCTACCCCTTACCCGGGGGGCTAACGGGATCTCTAAAAAACAATTCTCCCGGGTTCCTTGCTCTGGGTCGCGGGCTGTGCCGGGGGGGATGTCTGAGGTCCAGACCCAAGTCACTGAGGCAGTCTCGGAGATGGGGGGCAGCGGGGGGACTCTGCAACTTTTTCACATAAACATTTTAAACTTCCCCTATTACGAAAAAAACCAAATTAATTGATCCGACCCTTATACATAACATTTATATTTTAATTACATACTGCGACCCCCCACACTATACTTCTTTGTTGGGGGATGGTGATAAGGATAGAGGGGGTGGGGCCCCCTCGTCCTATAACCCCATCACTTCCCCCCTATAAAAGAAGTTCTGGGTTTTTTCCCCACTCTCTGACTAAGGCCAGAAAAAAGAAATGACCGGTAGGGGCAGGGGACCATTTCCAGTTCCCTTTAGGGTGAATTTTAACTCCTCAGAGACCAGGGGCCTGATTGGGGGGGAGTCCGGTTTGGGGAACCAATCGGCTCCTTCAGTAATCCTTTGTATTTTAGTCCCTGGCCGGAATAGGAAAAAACCCCCGAGGGTTGTCTCATTTGCTCCAATGGAAATAAAGAGAGGGCATCACACATAACCCGGGGAAAAAACCCCGGGTCCCTCCAAGTCTATCCGACCAACCCCCTGTAGATGGACCATCGGTTTTTTCGTATCCGAGGAACCCAACGTTTGGGGCCGGGCCCGGGGTTCCAAAAGAGAAGACTTCTCCTGTAAACCCAGGTGGGAAGGGTTTCAATTTTAAATCACATCTAATGAGCATAAAAGGATCTCACTCACGGGGCAGAAGCCCCATATTCATGACCTGAGTGCGGGAAATGTTTTGTATACAAATTCAGGTTCTTGTTTAAGCATCAGAGATCTCACACGGGGGGGGAAAAGCCACATTCCTGGTCTGAGTGCGGGAAATGTTTTTTAGAGAAGTCCATCTTTCCAAACATCAGAGATCTCACACGGGGGGAGAAGCCGTATTCCTGTCCTGAGTGCAGGAAATGTTTTTCATTAAAGTCCAGTCTTTCCAAGCATCAGAGATCTCACACAGGGGAGAAGCCGTATACCTGTCCTGAAGTGCGGGAAATGTTTTCCTTCTAAATTCCCTCTTATTGAGCACAAAAGATCTCACACGGAGTGAAAAACCATATTCTGTCCCGAGTGCGGGAAATGTTTTTTCACAAATGTCTAATCTTAAAACACATCAGAGATCTCACACAGGGGAGAAGCCATATTCCTGTCCTGAGTGCGGGAAATGTTTTTCACAGAAAATCCAGTCTTTATACACATCAGAGATCTCACACGGGGCAGAAGCTGCATTCCTGTCCTGAGTGTGGAAATGTTTTTCAGAGTATTCCTGTCATGGGAAGAAGCTGTATTCCTGTTCTGAGTGTGGGAAATGTTTTTCACGGAAGTTCCATCTTCACACACATCAGAGATCTCATACGGGGGAGAAGCCGTATTCCTGTCCTGAGTGCGGGAAATGTTTTTCAGAGAAGTACAGTCTTCAGACACATCAGAGATTGCACACAGGGGAAAAGCTATATTCTTGTCCTGAGTGTGGGAAATGTTTTTTCTCAGAAGTCTAGTCTTTATAAACATCAGAGATCTCACACGGGGGAGAAGCCGTATTTCTGTCCTGAGTGTGGGAAATGTTTTTCTCAGAAGTCCAGTCTTTACAAACATCAGAGATCTCACACGGGGGAGAAGCCACTTCTGTCCTGAGTGAGGGAAATGTTCCTCACTGAAGTCCTGTCTTCCTGTACATCAGGGGTCCCACACAACCCTGGAGGTGTATTAGTGCCTTGAGTGCGGGAAATGTCTTCTAGATGAATGTTGCTGGACATCCCAGCTCTCATGTGGGGAAGAAGCACACCCTGATATACACCTCAGATATACTCCATGGCTGATCTTCATCATGGAAGAAACAGTTCATAAGGAGATCAGAGGCCCCCAAAGACATGGATGAAGTGTGGGACCGGGTTGCCCATTGATGGCAGGAGAAGAAGTTTTCAATGTATTTTCCATGAATGGAAGACATTCCAGCAGCTCAGATGTGATCCTAATAACATTGGTTCCCCCATTCACACAGGAGGAATGGACATGAACTCTCACTGAGGGAATTGCTATACAAACATTCTATGAATAGACCCCCAAATGTCAGGAGACGTTTCTATAAAGACGGGAAGTATGGAGCAGAGAAATGAATAGACCTCCCAGCAATGTTATTACCAGGCTGCAGCTAGGGGGAGCTCTAATGTCACCCCAGCAGAGGGATCCCATCTAGCCCACATTAACCCTCTCACTGCCAGAGCTGTTTCTGCATGATTTTGCACACATGGGAAAATGCAGATTTTGGTCCTGAAGATGAGATAAACCCCCAAACATCTATTCTGTGACATCAGAGGCCCTGGAGAATAAAATGGTGGTGATTGTTAAGGTGTTCCCCGTACACAGATTCCCCTTCATATCCGCCTTTATTTCCTCCTTTCCCCCATTTTCTATGTTGGGATCTTTTCTACAATACTTTGTTATAATAATGGAACACGTTGTGTATTGTATTGTACACCAATAATAATGACTCCGCCCCCACATTCCAGACAAGGGATCTTCCTGACCAATCGGATTTCTGCCTTTACTATTTCCTGATTTTTTTGCTTCAATCTTGTTAAATGTAAAATTATAATAAAAAATGTATTGAATGAAAAACAAAATCCTGTGTGTGTGCAATGATGACAAAGCTGTGTATCCAGAAACGGCTGGTCGGTGACACTTCCATATACAGCCCAATGAAGTGACAAGGAAGCCCTAGAACCCTTTGGAGGAACCCTGGCTGAGAAAGGCTGGACTAGGCAGTCACATATCTCTGCCCCCCTTGCAGGGTTCCCAACCCTCCGTGACTTTTATTACTGACACAACATGAACATGACGGAGGAAATGTTTTTCCTGACATCCTGAAAAATGACAGAACTCCTGTTAGGATTATTATTATTATACAGTATTTATATAGCGCCAAAGGGTTTGCTCAGCGCTGTACAGTAGGGGGGGGACAGAACATGAGACAAGACAGTAACAATACACTACACGAGGGGTGCGAGGGTCCTGCTCTTTCGAGCTTACAGTCTAGGACGGAAGGGATGGTGGTGTAGCAAACTAGCTCCTCAGAGCTGGAAGCGGAGTTCTCCTTCAACCTTTGCTTTTGTAACAAACTAGCTCATCAGAGCTGGAAGCGGAGTTCCCCTGTTCCTTGCTGTATTTGAGGTCTTCCTCGAATCATTCCTCACATCCCCCCCTTGCATTCCTGTGAGGCAGACTTTATCTCCTGGCAGATGATGTGGAACAACCTAAGACATGAGAAGTGGAGACAGGCTGTCTACAAACGTTTCACTTTGGTCACCCAAAGCTATGTAAGCCCCACACCTTATCAAACTGACCCGAAAACTGAACATTCCTCAGGTCAACTGTATGGTTCATATAATGGGATATGAAGCTGGTAGTTTAGTTTAGAGTTCCCCAATGACCACTCCCAAAACGTGTAGTCAGAGCCCCCCCCCTCCCCTTGAGAGGGACTTTCAAGAGAGTTAGAGCTTGTCACACTCACACACATCGTAACAGAGGAGATCAAAGAACCTTTCTGCTCTGCATCTTGGATTTGCAAACCCAGGCATATGGGCAAGTAACTTAACCCTGTAATCTTCTTCCTAATTATCTCTTTGCTGTGTCTTTATGTACATATATATATATTTTTGTGACATCTCTTTGTAAATATTTATTTGCATCTGTCTGACGCTTTTAGTAATAAATCTTTCTTTCTGAAAGTGTTAAACTGTTTCTAAGCGCTTACTTGCAATTCACGAATCCCTGCCTTTGAAGAGACGCTACTGTTTGTATATCTCTGTATAGTAGGTCCGCGGGCCGTGCTATATACATCAATATTTCAATCATTATAGTGTATGTTTGATAACGGGAGTTTCCCCGTCTCCGACAAAAGTGGTGGTGGCAGTAGAGGGTTAGTTGCGTAATTAACCCGACCCAGTAACAAGCGCATTCAGGCTGCAGGCACCGATTGTAGACCATTATCTGGGCAATCGCTGTGTAGGGTGCAGCTGGGTGGGGCCTTGTTACGCACATCACACCGTGGTTTTAGATCGGCTGGTCCTTCGGTCACGAGTTTGGTGAGAAGGTCTGGGGTCTGACGCCGTGGGCGCGACGTATTACTGTTAGTCGTGGTCGTGCGGTTGTCGCCTGTTGGTCGTGTGGCGACCGTGGGTCATGACATGTGGCACAGGAGGAGATGGCTGTGGGGGATGGAGTGGTGGGAGGAGTGGAGGAGGTTAGTTGTTAGGTGAGGTTGGGTGTTAGGTGAGGTTGGGTAGGCTTCCCTGAAGAGGAGGGTTTTCAGGGTGCGCCTGAAGGTGAGGAGGGTAGGCGACAGTCTGATGGATTGGGGTGGAGAGTTCCAGAGGATGGGGGAAGGCCTGGAGAAGTCCTGCAATCGGGCGTGGGAGGAGGAGACCAGGGAGCTAGAGAGTAGGAGGTCTTGTGAGGAGCGGAGGGCACGGGTAGGGTAGTATTTGGGTATCAGGTAAGTTATGTAGTTTGGGGCGGCGTTGTGCATGGCTTTGTAGGTCAGAGTTAGCAGTTTGAATTTGATGCGTTGGGCAATCGGGAGCCAGTGAAGGGATTGGCAGAGGGGGGAGGCAGATGTGGAGCGGTTGGTGAGGTGGATGAGTCTAGCCGCTGAGTTTAGGATGACTGGAGTGGGGATAGCATTCGTTTGGGTAGGCCTACACTGACCACTGATATAAGGGGGTCCTTCTCCCATTGGTCACCATGTAAGGGACCACTACACTGACCACTGATATAAGGGGGTCCTTCTCCCATTGGTCACCAATGTAAGGGACCACTACACTGACCACTGATATAAGGGGTCCTTCTCCCATTGGTCACCAATGTAAGGGACAAATACAATGACCATTTGGGATGATCTCTGGGTTTAGTTGTTCGGAGAGTAGGGATGAGACGACAGTACAAACCAAACTTTGCCTGTTCCGGTCCCGTGTTTTGCAGGAGCCGATCATCACATGTAGAAGAGACATTTCTACCACCTCTATATATAACTAGGCGTGTCCATACTGGAGATTTCCATTTAGTTTGGATACATTCATTCATTGAAGAATTTAATTTAATCCCCTTCGTTATGTTGGCCCAATTCATCTTCAGAATTTGTTTTGTATTTCCTGCATTTGTTTTGTATATTCGTTGGTTCGGGTGGATTTGATAAAGTTGGTGGTTTTTCCAGAATATTGCTGTACATCTCAATCTCTGAAAATGACATTTTCATACAAAAAAACTAATTGAAACCAAATGCACGTTTATATATAACAGCTTCCTGCACTGGGGCCTAAGGAAGCAACGGATACTTGTAACTGCCAAATCCCCAGGAATCAGTGATGTCATTGGGAATCCCTGCCATGTAAGGGAAGGGGTGGGGATAGCAGTGACATCACTGACTAAATATGGCCACTGGTCACATTTGGACAATTGTCAGGAGCATCTAGCACTATTGCTCCATCACTGCTGCTGGTCTCATTCCAGCATCCTGGTTTTGGATGTGATACATTCTCCCTGTCTGTCCAGCTGAAAGTTGATGGATGTTGCCAGTTTTCTGGGTGGAGACCAAACTTGATTTAAGCCAGCCAAGCCTGCAGTCCCATGCTTGTGATATTGTGTTTTTAACACATGCTCCAATCTCCCTGTTTGTCTGCCAGTTTGGATTCCCTCATTGACGACCTCGGATCAAATATCTACTACTCTCTGAAATCTGTCTGCCTTTTGACTATGGATCTGACCCCGAGTTCCCTGAACCTTGCCTGCCTTGTACCTGGACTGTCATTGAACCAATCTGTCTTTCTGCCAACCTCAAGTCCCTTTTTTCTGTGCTCAGTTCACACCTGCCCCAGCATGGTAGCCAGGCACTATAGCATTGTGTATAGGTCCTGAGAGTAACTGAGCTTGCCTTATAGGAAAGGGGGCTGCTTTAGGTAAAGAACACAGAAGCCATCTCTAGTGTGTGACCACCTGTGTTAGGGGTGAGTGTGACATTATCACAAGTCTTTAACAAGAACATGTTTCTATGAAGATGGACTCTACACAGGATCATGTATTTGCTGAGGAGATATGCAAACTGACACTCCAAGTCCAGGAACTGTCTGTGCATGTAAACGCACAATCCAGCAGGAATGCAGGAATCAGAGCCAGGGTTATCCCGCCTGATCATGTTTCTGGTGACCCGACTGTTTTCCAACTTTAAAAACAGTTGTTTACTATGCTTCAAGCTCAGACCACATTCTTCTGGTTCTGAAGGACACGGGTTAACCTTGTTGTTACATGGTTGCAGGGCCCCCAGTCTTGGGCTTTTAGTCTCCTCACAGATGACCCAGCCTGAAGGTCAGTTGGGTTTAATCAATGAAATCCTGACCGTGCCCACTCAGCAGAAACTAAACCATCAGGAATAAATTCATCGCTGAACAATACTGTTCTGATTTCCACCACTGGTCACCTGACTCGGGGTGGAAGGCCCCAGATCCAAGAAGCCGGTTCAGGTTAGGCCTATCCTTTATCCTCTGGAGAAAAGGCTAGAAGATCTCAGGGCCTCTGCTTATACTGTGAGGACCATGACCACTTTGTCACCAGCTGCTCCAATAAGCCAAGAAAAGGGCCCTTCCCCTGGAAAGCTGTTTGCTTCCCTCCAACTATTTAAACTCTATTTTTAGGGGCCCGTCTAGTGCTCTGCTTATTCTACATAAGGACCCCTGGAAAGCTGTTTGCTCCCCTCCAACCTTAGATTACCCCTTCCTTTTGCCTGTCCCATTACACACTTGGATGCATGTCCTTACTTGTCCTCAACTGATGCGGTCTAGTCTGTCTCTACACCTGCTGATGTGGTCTAGTCTGTCTCTACACCTGCTGATGTGGTCTAGTCTGTCTCTACACCTGTCTGCGGTCTAGTCTGTCTCTGCACCTGCTGATGCGGTCTAGTCTGTCTCTACACCTGCTGATGTGGTCTAGTCTGTCTCTACACCTGCTGATGTGGTCTAGTCTGTCTCTACACCTGCTGATGCGGTCTGTCTGTCTCTACACCTGATGATGCGGTCTAGTCTGTCTCTACACCTGATGATGCGGTCTAGTCTGGTCACCTGCTGATGCGGTCTAGTCTGTCTACACCTGCTGATGTGGTCTGTCGGTCTCTACACCTGCTGATGCGGTCTAGTCTGTCTCTACACCTGCTGATGTCTATCTGGCGGTCTAGTCTGTCTGTCTCTACACCTGTGATGCGTCTAGTCTACTCTGTCTCTACTCTACCTGATGCGGTCTAGTCTGTCTCTACACCTGCTGATGTGGTCTAGTCTGTCTCTCTACACCTGCTGATGCGGTCTAGTCTGTCTAGTCTGTCTCTACACCTGCTGATATGGTCTAGTCTGTCTCTACACCTGCTGATGCGGTCTGTCTGTCTCTACACCTGCTGATGCGGTCTAGTCTGTCTCTACACCTGCTGATGCGGTCTAGTCTGACTCTACACATGCGGTCTAGCTGATGCGGTCTAGTCTGTGCTGATGCGGTCCAGTCTGTCTCTACATCTGCTGATGCGGTCTAGTCTGTCTCTACACCTACTGATGATGCGGTCTCTAGTCTGTCTCTACATCTGCTGATGCGTCTAGTCTGTCTCTACACTGATGCGGTCTGTCTGTCTCTACACCTGCTGATGTCATCTAGTCTGTCTCTACATCTGCCAATGTGGTCCAGTCTGCCTCCGCACCAGTTGTTCTGATTCAGCCCAGGCCAATTGAGCCTCCTTTTTCATTTCTGGGACTTTCAGTAACCGGGCCTCACCCTACTGCAACTATATCTGCTCAAACCTGTCTAAGAAGTTCCATCCAGCCTTTGGATAAACTGCCTCATTCAGCCATGTGGAGCCCACAACTTTTCATTCAAGCCACTCTGCATCCAGCCTGCGTTCAGCTTGACTTCAGTACCATGTCACCTGCTATCCAACCTGATGTTACAGGTTCTCTGCTGTCCAGTTTGGCTCCATAAACTCTATGCCTGCTAACCAACCTGACTTTGATGATCCCCTGACCAGGGGCAGACTGACAACTCATGGGGCCCCCTGACAATAGGGGATCATGGGCCCCTTTGTCCTTGCCCAAACTCAAAAAAGCTTTTTTTTTTGCCCAAACTCAAAAAAGCCAAGTTTACAAATGGTCAGTCCACCCCTGCCCCTGACCATTGCTCAGCATGCTGGTCCTTTGTTGGATGCCCAACATGCCTTTAAGGGATTATTTGACCCTTTTCAGATGGAGGTTAATGTCAGGAACGTCTAGCGCCCCCAATCCATCACAACTGGTGGTCTCATTACAGCATCCTGGTTTTAGCTATGATGCAGCAAGTCTCTCTGGGTGGAGAATAAATCTGATTTAAGCCAGCCAAACCTGCAGTCTCATGTTAGTGATAGTGTGTGTAATACACGTTTAAGCTCTCTGTCTGTCTGTCCTGCTCTGCTGTTTGGATTCCTCTGTTTATGACCTTGGATCAGATATCAACTACTCTCTCAACTCTGCCTGTCTTTTGACCAGGGATTGGACCCTGATTACTCCGAATATTGCCTGCCTTGTCAATCAAATGTTGCCAAACACAACAGCACTCAAATCTTGGTGCTTCACAATTCCACATGGTATCTGTCACTTGATGAGGTGCAGCCCTCCACAGATGGAGGAATCTAGGAACTGTCAAAGACAACACACAAGAGGGTGCATTACCGTAATACCAAATTTATTAAAAGATCACAAATGGAATCTCACAAGCCGACCATAAAAAACAGACAGAGCCAGATCTTCAGTCCCAGACAATGGGGTCCAGTCCCAAATACTGCCTGGTTGGGAAATCTGATGCATTTCAGGAGATGAACTCGCCTTGTACCTGGCCTGTCATTGAACCATTCTGCCTGTCAGCCAACCACAAGTACCTGTTGCTGTGCTCAGTTTGCACCTGCCCTGGTGTGGTAGCCAGGCACTATAGCATTGTGTATGAGTCCTGGGGGCACCGAGTACCAGTAGGCCTGACTGCCTTATGGGAAAGGGGCTGCTATAGGTAAGGACCACAGAAGCCAGCTATAGTGTCTGACCACCAGTGTTAGAGAGAAGTGTGACAAGACCTCCAAGTGTTTGTGAAATTTCCCACCACAAAATGTACTCAGCCAATCACAGGGCAGGACTCCATTTTTATTCTTCTCCTGCTATCAATGGCCAACCCGGTCACACACTTCATCCATGTCTTTGGGGGCCTCTCATCTCCTTATCAACTGTTTCTTCCATGATGAAGATCAGCCATGGAGTATATCTGAGGTGTATATCAGGGTGTGCTTCTTCCCCACATGAGAGCTGGGATGTCCAGCAACATTCATCTAGAAGACATTTCCCGCACTCAAGGCACTAATACACCTCCAGGGTTGTGTGGACCCCTGATGTACAGGAAGACAGGACTTCAGTGAGGAACATTTCCCTCACTCAGGACAGGAAAGTGGCTTTCCCCCCAGTGTGAGATCTCAAATGTTTGTGAAGATGGGACATTCGTGAAAAAACATTTCCCACACTCAGGATAGGAATACGGCTTTTCACCTGTGTGGGTATAAAGAATGTACTTTCTTGAAAAAAAAATGCCTGCACTCAGAAAAGGAAAGTGGCTTGTCCCCTGTGTGAGATCTCTGATGTCTGTCAAGACAGGACATCGGTGAAAAACATTTCCCAAACTCAGAAAAGGAAAACGTCCTTTCCCTCCCTGTATGAGAGCTAAGATGTATGACAAGTTCTGATTTTTCAACAAAACATTTCCAGCACTCAGAACAGTATTATGGCTTTTCACCCGTGTGCAATCTCTGATGTCTGTAAAGATTGGACTTGTCTGAAAAACATTTCCCGCACTCAGGACAGGTATATGGCTTTTCCCCCGTGTGAGATCTCTGATGTGTGACAAGTTTTGCCTTTTCTACAAAACATTTCCCACACTCAGGACAGGTATATGGCTTCTCACCTGTGTGCAATCTTTGATGTCTGTGATAAAAAGATTTGTCTGAAAAACATTTCCCACACTCAGAACAGGAGTATGGTTTTTCCCCTGTATGAAGCCTTTGATGTGTAACAAGATGTGATTTTTGTATAAAACATTTCCCGCACTCAGGACAGGAATATGACTTCTCTCCTTTGTGAGATTCTTTATGCCTAATAACATTGAACATAGAATGGAAAAACACTTCCCACACTCAGTACAGATATATGGCTTCTCACCTGTGTGAAGCCTCATATGCTTTTGAAGATTAGACTTTTGTGAAAAACATTTCCCGCACTCAGGACAGGAATACGGCTTCTCCCCCGTGTGAGACCTTTTATGCTCATTAAGATGGAATTTTGAAGGGAAACCCTTCCCGCACTCAGGACAGGAGAACCTCTTGTCTGTTGGAAGGCCGGCCAGGTCCCCGCACAGTCTGAGGATACGAGGAATCCGATGGTCCATCTACACTGTGTGGTGCTGGATGGACATTGGAGGGAGCCGGGTTTTCTCCTGGACTATACTGTGTGATGTCCTCATCTTCTACTTTCCAGTCTGGAGACAAAGTGAGACAATCCTCGGAGGTTTTCCTCATCTCCCAGCCATGGACTAAAATACAAAGACAAAGAGGATTACTAGACAGGAGCATAGAGTATATAGTGCAGGGGTCAGGAGTATGTAATATACAACATAGAGAATAAAGTTCAGGGGTCAGGAGTATGTAATATACAATAAAATCATATAATAAGGGGTCAGGACTCATAATATTGTATTCAGTAATCAGTGGAAGCTTAAATGTTTACTGTAGACAAGTTGCAGAGATCCCACACCGCTGCCTCCCATCTCCTGAGACTGCACTCAGTGACTTGGGTCTGAGACACTACAGACATATCCCTCCACCCGGCACAGCCAGCAGACTACAGAGCAAGGAACCCTGGGAGAATTGCTCTATCGGAGATTTTACCTGGGCATGAGGAAGAGGACTCACAGAACAGGTCCCAGATAACTCAAAACCTATGGTGAAATGAACATTTTGCTGCCAACTGAACCCCAGAATCTCCATAAATCCAGTCTAGAGACATAAATTGTGTCTGCAGCACAGAGAAGGAAGATTATCCGAGAGAAATCCAGGAATACAGGACGGGGAACACAGCTCAGGAAAGTGACCAGGGGATTACAGGCTGATATCACCCAGTCCCCGCCCTACTCTGGACCAATCAGTGAGCAGTATGGGTGGAGGAATGGATTTAGTGTTCATGACCCACCTGTGCTGATCTCTGTAGGAGTGTCCTCCTCTATAAATGTCCCCGTTATTCCATCCTCCTCCATAGACTGCTGATCATCCCTCACATACGCCTCTTCTTCTTCTGCTTTCACCTCAAATTCTATATCGATTGGATCTCCACTCTAAATCAAGGAAATGACAGAAAATATCATCTGTAAAATATAAGGTCACATAAAATATCCACACATTGTCTCTACAAGTCCATGTTCTAGATGCTCCATCCCACCAACCTTGTAATAGTGAGGGATGGTGTGACCTTCCTGTGTGGAATCCCGGGAATACAGAGGACGGGGACATCTCTCTGGTGGGTTCCTGGTATTAGGTGGCTCCATCATCTCCTTGTGTCCTTCTGAAAACTCCTCCATCACTCCATACTCCTCATCCTCCTCTTTATACTCTTCTTTAACATCAATATTATCATCCCCGAGGATTCCACTCTGAAAGATATAATAAAACATTCATTGTAACAAACATGCTGTGTATAAATCACAACTACCAATAATTGTCATCATCTACCTGATGATGGTGAGGGATGGTGTGACCTTCCTGTGTGGAATCCCGGGAATACAGAGGACGGGGACATCTCTCTGGTGGGTTCCCATGACTGGATCCATCTGTAGGAAACACACACACTGACTGAATCCATTGTTTCTATGTGTTTATCAGATGATGGGGGATCTAGGTGGATCCTCCGTACTGCTCTCTCCTTTACAATAAAGTCTCCTCTTACCCGGTGATGTGAGGGGCGGCTGATTGTCCATCATGACGTCCTTGTAGAGATCCTTGTGTCCTTCTAAAAATACTCCCACTCCTCCATGGAGAAATAGACAGTGACACCCTGACACCTTATAGGAACCTGACACACACAATGATACAGTCACCATCCAGACACATCCCTTGTCTGTTACTGGAGAATGTCCCAGAATTCCCGGCACCGCTCACCTCTCCTGTCAGCAGCTCAGTGATCTCTCTGGTGACTTCTAGAATCTTCTTCTTCTTTCTCTCTTCTATCAGGGAGGGAGGTGGAGGCAATGTGATGTCATATGATCTCCAGACTTCACAGGAGGAAAACTCTACATCTGAACACAAATAGTCACATCAAATGATATTCCCAGAATCCTCCTCACCTCTCCATTCAGGTCTCCATTTTATTAAAGCCCCACTTCAGGCTGAGGTATAATTCCCCCCACAGGACCCCCACACTACGCAGGGTATAAGGAATTCTGACGTCATAACACAACACAGGATCTACAGTTCTGATTTGCTTATGAGGATGCCAAGGGTCCCCCACATCCTAACACCATAGAATAAAAAGTAAGGAGCCAAATGGAGGGACATTGGGAGGAGGAGCTGTGAGGTTAGTGTGATGTCATAGGATTCTCCATCCCCCACAACTAATAAAAGTGGTATAATCCATTAGTATAGACTGATGAGGTGAGAAGGTGACACCTCTCCACAATGAGGAGAATGTTCCGGCCCCGGAAGTGGGGGAATGTTCTGCCCCTGAAGGGGTTAATCTGGGTTCCCACACTATATATGTGTGTATCATCATCTGCTGGTGATAAAAGACGTCACAGTGACTATGGAGGACGGACATGACTATTGAGGAAGAGGACGGACATGACTATGGAGGAAGAGGACAGACATGACTATGGAGGAAGAGGACATGACTATGGAGGAAGAGGACAGACATGACTATGGAGGAAGAGGACGGACATGATGGGGGGGTTACTGGGTGTAAATAGGAAATCTCCTAGATTGTAAGCTCCCAGGATCAGGCCCTCCTATGCCTCTTGTATTGATCTGTATTGTTGCTGTATTGTCTCCCGTTATATTGTACAGCGCTGAGCAAACTGTTGGCGCCATAAATCCTGTATAATAATAATAATATCTTATTACCTCCTTTTCTGCCACTTCCACCAACGTCTCCTCTCTGCTTCCTCCTGCCTCACATCTTACCCAGAACTTCCTGTGTGTACATTACATCACTTCCTTTCTGTACGTAACTTCACTTCCTGTCTGTACCTGACATCACTTCCTGTCTTCTATAGAGACTTCCTGTCTGGGTAGAAGTGAGATCCCCACCTTGTGGAACTCAGAGGAACTGCAGCCCCGAGAAGCGTCTGGTAGTGTGACCCCGGCCTTGTGCTGGGTGTGTATGGACTGTAGATCCTTATAGAGGGGTCACCTCCACTCCCACCAAGGGGGACAGAGATATATGACTGCCTAGTCCAGCCTTTCTCAGTCAGGGTTCCTCCAAAGGTTTCTCGGGGCTCCTTCAGCAATGAACAATTCCTGTGTGAATCTGTCAGATTACAAGTCCCCATTATCTGGGTAAGGGGGGTCAATCATCGCACGTCGCTGACATTTATAAATCTAGAGCAGAGTATGAAATGTTCTGCAGACGACATTTCCCTCCCGGATTCCTTCCCCCAGACCCCACAGTACATAGCGCCCCCTCCTGTATTGTGGGGGGACTCTGGAAATGAAGTTTTATCGGCAGCAGCTCAATGTGTGTCATTATCGGTCACTCTGCTGTCACCCCATCCGGTGTTCTCCCAGGTTTGTGTTAGTAAAAGAACATCATGTGACCGTGTATTCCTGGAACTCTTCACACTCAGCCGATGCGGGGGGGGCCGCTGCATTTTTTAAAGTCCTGCTTGTTGCATTCTTGCTGCAGGTTTGGTGTGGTAAGAAAACGCTCTAAGAGCGCCCCTCCCCATTGAAATCAATGGAAAACATGGCAAAACGCATCAACAATTCCCCACAGTGAGGGTTCGGTGCGGATTTTGAGTCATATGATCTTTAAGAAGTGCAATGCAAACACGGTAAAAACATGGCAGAAATGCAGCAAAAAGTCATACGTGTCCCGCGGATCAGTGTGGGAGGAGCCTTCATGTCACCTTTGTTGCAGCACATTCTACAGTGAGAATGGAAACAATTCATAACCCCTCCCCCACCTCAACAAAACGCATCCCAGACTCCTACACACTGCAAAACCAGCTCTGGCAGTGAGAGGGTTAATGTGGGCTAGATGGGATCACTCTGCTGGGGTGACATTAGAGCTCCCCCTAGCTGCAGCCTGGTAATAACATTGCTGGGAGGTCTATTCATTTCTCTGCTCCATACTTCCCGTCTTTATATCTGAATTCCATCTTTATATGAGCAGAAAATGAATGGAATAATAAATCTAATCATAATCCCGCCCCCACAGAGTACTGCTCACCAAGTCCTGCCCCCACGGAGTACTGCTCACCAAGTCCTGCCCCCACAGAGTCTTGTTCTCCCAAGTTCCACACCCACAGAGTACTGAGACAAAGAAAGGGAAATGGGAGCTAATAGGATGCAAGGGATCTGCTGAGACATAGAGAGGGAAATGGGAGCTAATAGGCTGCAGGAGATCAGAGATGAAATCTGTATGAAATGGATGGATTTGCAGACACTTCCAGAAGATGATGTCATTATGAGTGGATTGATATATTATTATTATTATTATTATACAGTATTTATATAGCGCCAAAGGGTTTGCTCAGAGCTGTACATTACAAAGGGGGACAGAGCATGAGACAAGACAGTAACAATACAATACTCAAGGGGTTCGAGGTCCCTGCTCTTTGGAGCTTACAATCTAGGAGGGAGGGGAAGTGGTACAGGAGGAAGTGGCTGTGGGGAATAAAGTGGTGGGGAGGAGTGGAGGAGATCAGTTGTTATGTGAGGTCAGGTGTTAGGTGAGGGTGGGGTAGGCTTCCCTGAAGAGGTGGATCTTCAAGGTGCGCCTGAAGGTGAGGAGGGTAGGTGACAGTCTGATGGATTGGGGTAGGGAATTCCAAAAGATGGGGGGAAGCCCTAGAGAAGTCCTGCAGTTGGGTATGGGAGGAGGAGACCAGGGAGGTAGAGAGTAGGAGGTCCTGTGAGGAGCGGAGGGCACGGATAGGGTAGTATTTGGGTATCAGGTCAGTTATGTAGTTTGGGGCGCGGCGTTGTGAATGGCTTTGTAGGTCAGAGTTAGCAGTTTGAATTTGAAGCGTTGGGCAATCAGGAGCCAGTGAAGGGATTGGCAGAGGGGGTGGAGGATGTGGAGTGGTTGGTGAGGTGGATGAGTCTGGCCGCTGAGTTCAGGATAGACTGGAGTGGGGATAGCGCTCATTTGGGTAGGCCGGTGAGGAGGGAGTTGCAGTAGTCCAGGCGTGAGATGATGAGGGAGTTGCAGTAGTCCAGGCGTGAGATGATGAGGGAGTTGCAGTAGTCCAGGCGTGAGATGATGAGGGAGTTGCAGTAGTCCAGGCGTGAGATGATGAGGGAGTGTACGAGTTGTTTGGTGGTGTCTGGGGTGAGGAATATGCGTATCTTGGAGATGTTGCGGAGGTGGAGCCTGCATGATCTAGATAGCAGTTGGATGTGGGGTAGGAAGGAGAGGTGGGAGTCCAGGGTGACACCCAGGACTTTGGCCTGTGGGGTGGGAGTGATGGTGGCGTTGTTAGTAGTGATGGATAGGATGGGGGGGGGGAAACTAGGAGCTCGGTTTTGGACAGGTTAAGTTTGAGGAAATGGAGCGACATCCAGTCTGATATGTCCCATAATCCCCATTCCTGTATAATATGTACCTTACAGGGATGTATATGTTTCTATTTTAGGATGTATTTTTGCATTGTCCCCCCCAGAAGGATCAGGTTTGGCGGGATCGCTCTCATTAGCTATACATTTGTATTTTGTGTGTTCTGTGTTTGTAAGACTTTTCTATATGTAATAAGAGATGTTTGTTGAACAGTTGGTTACATAAGAGTTACATTTATTTCTTCTTCCTTTATTCAGTAATGTTTCATCTCCCGTAGTATCCCTGTAAGGTACATATTATACAGGAAGGGGGATTATGGGATGGATCTCGGGGCTGCAGTTCCTCTGAACTCCACAAGGTGGGATCTCACCTATACTCACACAGGAAGTCTCTATGGAATGCAGACAGGAAGTGATGTCAGGGACAGACAGGAAGTGATGTCAGGGACAGACAGGAAGTGATGTCAGGACAGACAGGAAGTGATGTCAGGGACAGACAGGAAGTGATGTCAGGCACAGACAGGAAGTGATGGCAGGTACAGACCGGAAGTGATGTCAGGGACAGACAGGAAGTTCCAGATGAGAGGTGAGGCAGGAAGAAGTATAGAGGAGACGTTGGTGGAAGTGGCAGCAGAGGAGGTAATAAGATGTAATTTCCTATTTACAACAAATGTATATAAATCTGAGGCTCTTTTAGGAATGTTGGGGTTTAAGCAATGAAAGGGGCTTTATAGCAACTTAAATGTGTAATATGTGTAACATTGTTCTGTTTATCTCCTCCTCCCCTCCCCCGCCTGTCTCCAGCACTGCACCCGGGGACTAGCAGGGAGGGGAGAGACCTTGCAGTGTAATGAGAACCGATTGGCTGCTCCTCAGGAAAGGGGAGTGTCCAGCTTATCCTTTCTCCCTTTCACTCCCAGAGCTGTTTTGGCATTTTTTGCACGTTTAAAAAATCATTTTATCCTGAAGATGACACAAAACCCCAAAATATCAATTTTCTGAAAGTAGAGACTTTAGAGAATAAAATAGCGGCAGTTCTAATTTTTATGTCACAAAATATCACAAAGTCTAGGAAATGCCAAATTTCAGTAAAACATTATTATTATTATTACATGGAGTTTATATAGCGCCAAAGGGTTTGCTCAGCGCTGTACAATAGAGGGGGGACAATACATGAAACAGAACAGCAACTACAAACAGCACACGAGGGGTAAGAGGGCCCTACTCTTAGGAGCTTACAATCTAGGAGGGAGGGGGTAGTGGTACAGGAGGAAGTGGCTGTGGGGGATGGAGTGGTGGGAGGAATGAAGGAGAGCGGCTGTTAGGTGGGGGTGGGTTAGGATTCCCTGAAGAGGTGGGTTTTCAGGGAGCGCCTGAAGGTGAGGAGGGAAGGTGACAGTCTGATGGATTGGGGTAGTGAGTTCCAGAGGATGGGGGGAGGACCTGGAGAAGTCTTGCAGTCGTGCGTGCGTGGGAGGAGGAGACCAGGGAGCAAGATAGAAGGAGGTCCTGTGAAGAGCGAAGGGTACGGGTAGGGTAGTATTTGGGTATCAGGTCGATTAGGTAGTCAGGGGCAGTGTTGTGAACGGCTTTGTAGGTCAGAGTTTAAAAGTTTGAATTTGATGCGTTAGCAATCGGGAGCCAGTGGAGGGAGAGGCAGAGGGGGGTTGGAGCCAGTGGAGGGATAGGCAGAGGGGGGTGGCAGAGGTGGAGCGGCTGGTGAGGTGGATGAGTCTAGCCGCTGAGTTCACGATGGTCTGAAGCGGGGAGAGCCTGCACTGGGGTAGGCCGGTGAGAGGAGGGAGTTGCAGTAGTCGAGGCGTGAGAAGATCAGGGAGTGTACGAGTAGTTTAGTGGTGTCTGGGGTAAGGAACGTACGTATCTTGGAGATGTTGCGGAGGTGGAGCCTGCATGTGTTTGTAAGTGATTTGACATGAGGTTGGAAGGAAAGGTTAGAGTCCAGAATGACGCCAAGGACTTTGGCTTGCGGGGCGGGATTGATGGTGGTGAAGTTAGTAGTGATGGATAAGGTGGGGGGGGGCGCGGGCTGCTGGGGGGGAAGACGAGAAGCTCGGTTTTGGAGAGGTTAATCTTGAGGAAATGGAGCGACATTCAGTCTGAGATGTCGTTTAGGAGGTGAGTGATGCGGGCGGAGAAAGTGGAGGTGAGGTGGGGGGTGGAGAGGTAAATTTGAGTGTCATCAGCGTAGAGGTGATAGTTGAAGCTGTGGGAGTGTATGAGTTTGCCAAGGGAGGAGGTGTAGATGGAGAAGAGAAGGGGTCCAAGGACAGAGCCCTGGGGGACCCCAACAGAGAGGGGGAGGGAAGGGGAGGTGGCACCGTTGTAGGAAATGCTGAAGGAGCGTCGGGATAGGTAAGAGGAGAACCA